TAAAATGCAGAATTTGTACTTACAGTTCAACCTTTTTATGTTGTGACATTTCTGCCTTTAAAATAATGGTTTGATCTTTCTTAAATCCTATTTACTTCAAGGGAGTGACATCAAAGTATTTTATGACCACATGGTTCAAACAAGGCAAGTGTCTCTTGCGGTTTGTATCATTAGTAATAGTGTACATCAGTAGGCCTATATATTTAATTTATAATCTTTATGCTATGTTATAGGAAAAAGTGATACATTTTGAAAGGAAAAATAATGTTCTTGATAAACTCAAGTACAGTGCAGTGCAATATTTGCTACAGTAGTTGTTACTAGTTGGCAATTGTTCCACAATTAGTATTGCCTTGAACCTTCATTTACGTAATCTATTAAAATTATATGAATTATGACAGTCCACATTTGGGGTTTTCTGATTTTTGCATAAAGGCAGAGAGATGTTCACTGTAAGAAAGAGAGACAGAAAGAAAGAGAGAGAGTGTACCTGCCAGTGGAGGTCAGATTCAATGCCCAGTGCCTCTGAGTTTTCGGTCTCTTCAATAATTTCACCATATTGGTTGACAACCTCAGCCTGGCGTTGACGCAGAGAATTCAGCAAGCGATTCTCCGCCCTGACGATATACATGGATACATATTTAATTAGCTTATCTAAATGAGGACATACCATGCCATCTTTAAATAAATAAATACATATCCTCTATTAGAAATAAGCCTCTTTCTAATAGAGAGTCAATAGAAGAGTAAGCATTTAGCTTAAATTTAAAGAAAAAAAAACTTGAAAATAATATTAGACATTAACACCACACCAGATAAATGATATTCTGCAATACTGCCACTGAAAGTTTCTATCTTGAACAAAGGCCACGTTCACACAGCAGCAGAATACGGTTGTCAGTCCCGTATTTGAGTCCTTAATACGGTTACGTCCACACACAGTTCGGTTATTATTTACGGGTGCGACAACCGCATTCTCTAACCGAACTCACACCTGTAAATTTTCAGGACTCACAACCGCATTCTCGGAACACACGCGCTGTGTGAACGGAACAGGACTGGACAACTAGTTGTCACACGTCATACAGTGCGAGAGAAAGCCGCACAAACGCGTGTTTACCGTGTGTTACGTGTTTTCATGTGTGTTTTCGGTAACTTACAGTGACGGAGAGATGAGCTGCGTGTCTGTCACCTGAAATTGTTAAGATCCCGTCAGTTTTCCACCGGAGCCGCTCCCGACAGTTATTGTGCTCTGCGCGCGACTCATACTCCGCCAGTGTTGCCAATTTAGCGACTTTGTCGCTAGATTTAGCGACTTTTCAGACCCCTTGGCGACTTGTTTTCCAAAAAAGCGACTAGCAACAAATCTAGCGACTTCTTGTACAAACCTTACCCTTACCAAAAAGTAGTATACTTCAAGTTTATTTTAGTAAGTATACTTAAGTAAAGTTCAAGTATATTTTTTAAGTAAACTTTATGTAGTAAGTATACAAATATCAGTGTACTAGTAGTATACTTGTAAGTGTACTATTTCAATACTCCTTGGGACTAAATTGGCCCACTTTCTAGTATATAAAAGTATACTTTTAAGTATACTTTAAGTATAACAGTAGTAAACTTGAAGTACACAATTAGTTTACAACAATATTTTTAGCTTGTACTGCAACTACACTAAAAGTGAACTTATATGAATACTGATAGTTTTCTAATTAAATACTTGTAGTAGCATTTTTAGTACACTTTGAAGTATAGTCTCAGTAAACTACAAGTTTAGTAGTTTTATACTGCAAGTATACTCGTAAGTTTTTTTAAGTGAACTTTACATCATACTTGAAGTATACTACTATGTCCCTATTTAGGTATTTACAGTTACTTATGAAAATGTTAACGATTACAAAGGGGATTACATTTGAATATTTACACACATCCACATACAGATTTACTGATTTTTTCCCCAAATTACACTGACTACTCTGAGAAATACGGCCCTATAATTTCCGCGATGCAGAAAACACAGACCGGAACATTGTGTCAACTTATTTCGCAAGTATGGAGAACAGCGATAGATGGACGGACGCTGAAGTGCAGGCACTTGTAGCAAATGTAGCACTGCCAGTTGTCGTTGGAGATTCTTAGTTCTCCTTTCCGTTCTTTCAATCGCTTTACGTATACGTCGACTTTCCATGTCCATTATTGTGAAACCCGCGAGACACAACAAAAACACAGCTCCGATCACAGCGTCCTCCATTCTCCTGTTGTTAATGTTGTTCTTCTTTGTTTCTGTTGTTGAACGCTGCGCACAAATGACGTCGCTGTCGACCGGCTTACATCACTTCTTAGTACACACTCTCGGTGCGAATGCAACCCTTTAAATGGTACTGGGAAATAGTTCGCGCAAAATCGTCCCAGTACTTTAGTACTGTACATTTAGTTCTGGAACTAAAGCGGTGCGAAAGGCCCTATTTAGCGACTTTTCAAACTGGCTTTAGCTACTTTCTATTGAAAGAAGTTGGCAACACTGTACTCCGCTCTCCACCAAAATTTAAAGGCTGCTGTCGGTTAACGGTGATTTGACGGATGAACTCGCGACTCATTTGGACCCTTGTCGTGTCAGAAAGTGATAAGACTTTCAGTTTTATGCACGTCGCCATCTTTGATTTTACTTTGGTCACTGTCGCTATGGTTACTGGTAAGGAATACGGGCTTGACGCCCGTTGCATGTTCAAACAGACAGTGTTCTAAACATAACTGTAAGCTGCTGTGTGAACGGGACATTTCGAGACTCACACCTGTAAAGAAACTACGGTTGTCAATCCCAAAAATCGACAGTATGAACGTAGCCAAAGAAACTGTTTTGGAAATCTGCTAAAAAACAGACATGTCACAGTATTCTTTCAGTAAATGTGGGTGGTGTGGGCCTGATCCTATACAGATGTCTCATCTGAGTAACAACCATCCAGTGTTGATATGAGAGGACATAGAGAGGGTCATCTAACAAACCTCTGCACCAGTGTCCAACTAACAGCCCTGATTTCATTAGATCAGTCTGTGTGGTGCTGCACAATTATTAAAAACTTAAACACAGCCGAGCCTGCAGGCCTGCCACTCTGAAACAGAGAGCACGAGAGAGAAAGGGCTGCAGACTGAAGTGAACAGGATGAAATTGATGCTACTTTGCGTCCAATGAAACGGACAGATTTCCTCGCCTTTGGCAACTTACCCAGAATGCACTGGTAGAGACAATACAATGTGGAGTATATTACATCTCCTCACAAATGTCAGCAAAATGTAAATGGCTTTGGAAACACAGATTAATGATTTTTCACATCAGATTGGATGTAGAGAAATTCACGTACCGCTGGAACACAGCATAGAGTCTGTCCTGCAGAACGGCTTCTTCTTCATCTATGCGCCTAATCTGCAGAAGCAAATAATAAATCAAATGTTATACATATACAGTAAATGTCATATATAACCAATATGAAGAGTTTAGTTTAGTTATTTATTTTTATTGCCATATCAGCATCTAAGGCTATCTTCATGGCAAAAACTGAGTTGCAGTAATGCAAGGGGTACATAAACCCAAAATAAAAGCCAAGTAAAAAAGAAAAAACAACGATTTTAAAAGATTTATTTTTTATTTTTGTTTTTTTTTTTTTATTAACATACAATAATCTTTTCTGGTAAAATTTTAATAAACAAGTCCCTGAGAGAGCATACTTCATTAAAAATGTTTTCTCCAATATTATGAAGAAAATAAAATTTAAAATGATATCCATATTAAACCAGAACATGCTACACAATGACAATGTAGAGTAAAACCAAACATTTAACTTCCTAGCACTGCTTGCAAAGACATGCAAAAATAATATGCTTTGCTGTTGTTATGACACTCATTGTGTGTCTTGCTTTCTGTCATCTGCACAAATTATTGAACATTTTCTGTTCGGAAATGAATACCTTTTAGCTTACTAAACACTACTCTTTGAAAAGAGTGCAAAACAGTACATATTACAAAACAGTAACACTAGTTAAATATGAGTCAAGGAAAAAATGTAGCCAATTTTAGTTATAATAAAATCATCACACTTAAAGTAGAAGGTCAACTCAAGTGCATTGCATTGTGGGATACAGTACTTCATGCAGTGTGCTTTGGTCATCTGGAAATAGTAATATTAGTATGATAGTAGGTTATTTCATAAAAACAATGCAAACACACCTAAGACTGAAGAAAATTTGAATGATTGCATAAGCATTTATGGTGAAGAATGGATATATATATATATATGTGTGTGTGTGTGTGTGTGTGTGTGTGTGTGTGTGTGTGTGTGTGTTTATATTATAAATATATATACAATTATATATACATTTATGTGTTACAGTTCTATAGAACTCCATAGAATTGTCCATATTAGCCTGTGACTGTGTGTTTGAGTGATAGTACAGTGTGATTGATAGGCAAAGACAGCAGAAGGTCTCAGCAGCAACTCCTGTACCTCAGGAAATCTCATTTGACATACCTACAGTAATCTTTCCTTTTTCTGGACACACATCAGTACCTTTGAATTTCCCCTTAAGAGCGACATTACTCTCTGCTTCCTCGCCCACACCTTTTCCTCCGTCTTCCCTCGCTCTGAACGCTCTTCCTGCCAAAAAGGAAAATCCATGTTCTTGTTTAGTACCAGCAGACTGCATTCTGCCGCTACATGTGGCTAACTTGAATTCAGAACATCTAAAGAGAGGCAAACCCTACAGACACACACAGCAGAATTCAGTCAGCACGTTTAAGAGGCTTTATACTCGCTGACTGACAGCGGTACATCCTGTGCTGCTTAAACACACATTATAGTGAAATGCTTGTGGAGTGTGGTAGGGATAATTCTGTGTTTTCCGAACAGTTGGAGAGCTATCTTCTGCAGTCACACACAAACCAAAAGTGATTATTCAACACATGCCATGACTCAAACAACCATTACATCCCATCCGCTCCTTATGCGTTCATTTCTCACTTCAACTTCGGATTCTCTATTTAATGTGCAACTCTTCATTCGCATTTCAGTCATAACAAGTTGCCAAGACTGATTGCAGCTTAAATATGCCGGCTAATTCTGATCTTGTTCAGTGTAGTTTTGTGTTTTTTGACATTTCCTCTGTATATAGAATTGCATAGAAAGTGAAGCATCTAGAATATGACCTGAAACATCCCAGATTTTTCTGTTTTGGTTGCAAATGAAAAGCAAAAAATGACAAACAAGACATAAATAACATGAACTTATAGTACATTACATTACCAATGACATACATTCACAAGGGGTTTTCACCATAAACAATAAATCTGGGCCATATACATGCACAAAGAAATCTTCTACTAAAATTAAAAAGATATACAGCACCCATGAGTTATATTCCAATAACCAAAAAGCTGTGTAACACATTGAATGCAAAATAAAATTACACAAAAAACAGCCTACAAAGAGAGAATTTTAAGGCATGGACACATGTCTGTTGTCCTTAAAGACAAAGCTCAGTGAAAAACAAATTGAGCAAAGATAGTGGATGAAGTGAGAAAAGATTATTGTAAATATAGTGACATGCTAATGTAAAGTAAAACTGTTAGAAACCAAATCCAAATCAGTTCAGTTACAAGGTTCTATTTTAGTCAGGATGCTGCCTCTACAGACAGTATAGTTTTGTCTGTTGTACAATAATAATGTATTTCTGTCATAATGTCTTCAAGTTAAACCAAACTTTTATTTTGAAGGGTTGTTTTGAAGTTTCAATGTGTATGATATAACAACAGTTTTCTCAAATGAAATGGTGAAAAGCTGGTGAAATTAACTCTCAGAGCAGCTCTGGAGATTAAGTTCAGGTGTTCATGTCGTCATATGACAGACACTGAAAACACTATGATCATCACTTGTGCTTTAGTTTGGGTAATACTACGAAACTGTGCCATTCATTCACACAGTGACACAAAAAAAATATGTAAACTTTATATTTAAGTCTTGTTGTGGTTTACTATTCACAGGCACAACTCCATATTGCAATTTGATTACGTGTACAGAGCTATTTTTTATTTATTTTTCAAAAGAAATGTCCAATCCCATGATATTCTGCGTTATACAGTACATTCCATTTTTATGACTGGATTCTGCAATTCTGACCACATTTTCTGCATCGCACAATAATTGGGCATTAGGGGAGTGCGGGGCACAAAGTAACGCGGGGTTAGTTGTAACACACATGGTTTGAATATCTCCACACATGCTAGCATAACAAAATGTATGGTATTTACTAGTTGCCATATCAACACTATATAGAGAAAAAAAGTGTGCCAAAATTCAAAATCTTTTGAAGATATCGCTGAACATTTATTTTACCATAGTAAAAGTACATTTCTGGCTTAAGTAAATTTTTCATCTCAGTTTTTAGTATTTATTTTAAATGAGGCAAATCTGCTATTATTTTAATCTCCAATCTGTTATTTATCCGTTTAGATTTTTTTTTAATGCTTCGCTAACTAGCAGAAGACACCAACTGGTTTTAAATTCCAGTTGCACAGATGGGACACGTTGTAACACTGCGTTACAATGTGTTATTCTATGACATTAGCAATGTAATTTACACTATTAATGAATTTCAATGAGAAACCACAAGGAACAGGTGAATAAAGACTGACAGTCAATGTTTAATGTTCATAAGTTATTATTTCAAGAAATGTAAAGCATTTTTGCTCATTTATGTGGGCCATCCCAACCATGGTTGCAATGTGTTCATTGTCAATCTCCAAAATCAGATTATTTTTAATTCTTAAAAAAAACGCCATTATTTTATTTGAAAAAGTTAATTTTATTTTATCGACAACATATTTTAGTTTGTTTTGTATATTTTGTTCATTAGATCAGATAATATTTTAAGCTGTCATATGGTCATGTTACAACGTGCCCCACAGATGTTACAATGTACCCCCATCTACGGGGCATGTTGTCACATTTCACTTTCTTTTTCACATTTCACATTTTTTTAGGGTAAATAAAGAAAAATGTATACACTGTAATTATGAAACAAAGCCACGTATTTGTACTAGACAAGTGTAAAATTATTGTGGATAAAAAAATTATAATCTGAACCCCATATGGATTTACACAAACTGGGAAAGTCAAAAAGTGTTACATTGTGCCCCGCTCTCCCCTACTATGGTCTTAGCAGTCAGTCCAAATGTTCATGACATCTTAATTTGCACTGCTCATGCAGATATAGTAGTTTGATTGCTGCGTCATGTCCCATTCCCTCCCTTTATCAATATAAATGGTAAACCCACAAAATAAAACAAGTAAAAGCATAAAAACTAAGATTGCTGAAAGAACAGCATGTTCTGAACAAACCATGTCTAGAGTGGGCAACAAGAACACAAACTAGTTTCATTAAACTAAAAGAAAATCAGAGAGAGGAATGCGCCTACACAACAGCAACTGAGTGGTGTGACATGACTAGATCAAAACTACAAACGTCCTGTTGTAAGCAACATTTTAACTTTTTAGCGTACACCTCTTTGTTGATTTAAAAAGAAAAAAAATGCTTTTCTCTTGCCATTTGATGACTGGATAGACTGGATGTAATTCAGGCCGTGATTACGATGACTTCACAGCAATGATAATTCTGGCCATCAGAGATTTATGGGCTTATATTTAACTGACCTGTTCTAATGTGAGTCTGCTCACTGGGATCATGTCTCTCTGAACACACTCTTCAAGCTGCTCCACGTACTGAGGAATGACCTCCGCTCTCCTCTCCAACAGCTCAGCCCTCCGTCGATCCCTCCATCCATTCTCAGCTGCTGGTTCAACATATTCAGCATGCTCAGATGTCACCATACCTACAATACACATGCACTATGATTATAAATCGAATACAAACATACACAACAAACACAAATCTGAAAAGTCAGTGATAGTGATGTTAAACTCTCTGAGGTTTAGACACATTCCTCGTCTGAACCAAATTACACAGAAGTACGATTTAATTAAAACAGTGAGTTAATCAAACAAAGTAGTGCTAATGAAGCCCTAATGTGATTGCGCGCTTGTTTCACAGTGCAGCACAATACACCAATGGGGAAACACCTGGATCAAGACAGGCCAAAGTGCAAAGATACATATCAAGTCTGTTCCAAAAACCTAATGAGCTACCTACCTAGACAGCATTTTAAGGTATCATAGGCACTCTGATGATTTAAAGGCTGTTCCAAATGGTAGAAACCTTCTTTTGGCCCAATTCTAAGGCTGCACCTCATGTATCCTTCACACATAAGGCAATCCCATAATGCATTATGACAGGCTCGGTGAAAGCATTCATCAAAGATGGCAGAAGAAAAAAGATGCCGGCTATAAATAAATCTTATTCAATGCAAAAAAGTATCGATAAGAAGAGTACAAGTAAGTCTGAATAAAAATTGACTTTTATAGAATCCAATATTTGTTTGTTGTATATTATTATGCTTAGAGTGTTGCATTGCTAGCTTAGCAACTTGCTAACATTCAACTGGGCCTTTATAATAATTGGCCTTTTTTGCTAATATGACCGCAGTGAAGCTGCCATGGAAGGTAGCAGCCTATGTACAGACAGCAAGGCAGCTAGGTTTTGGAACATCATCTGAATCAACCAATTGGTTCCCTCAGAGTTTTACACGCAGCATACTGGACTGTGTCCATTCTGCTAATGATGCTCCAAACCCATGAAGTGTTAGAGATGTGGAGATATTTAGAGAATTACCAGACTATGGCCTACACTAAGAGGTGGCGGTGAAGAAAGCTTGCAGGCAGTTGTTTCAAGTCTATTGTGACCATGTTAAAGCCTCATGGATGGATGCTACCCGTGATCGTCCTCCTCCTTCTACTGTGTGTGTGTTAATCCTGTATCCTCTTTCCTTCTGTTTCTTTGAAGGATTTTATGAGCATTCTAAGACAATAATGAAGAGGCTAATCTAAATACTCCAGCTAAATCCACAACAATCCAGTTGAGTGTTAGACAGCTAACACCGTATTCGTGTGTACCGTGAGGCCTAAACCCAATGACAGTCTGGCAAACTAATTATACCTGCTGTGCGGTTCCTCAACCGATTCACCGAGAGTATTTTACACCAAGACAAAAGAAGCATAAGCCCAACACTCTACTTGGGAGAGAGTCTTAATCCGACCCTCTGCTAATGGGACAAACGCTGGAGTCACGCACAACAATGGCTCTCACACAGGAAGTTGAGCTCCATGCCCACCTGAGAGCTCAATGTTTTGTTGGGGAATTACACTCTTTGCACTGAAGCTTCAGATCGGTGGGCTAATATCTCGCCTGCTTGGTAAAAACATCTTACATAAAAAAAAATCACAAGCATCTGATAATGAAGGTAAAAAGCAGAGATTCGTTATTTTTTATAAACCAGGCTGACGGAATTTGTTTCAACAACATTCACATCGTGTCTTCACAGAACAGGGCTTGATGCAGAACCTGATGCAGGTTCAGCCCTGTGGAAACTTCTGCTGCTCAGTGGAAGCTCCTTCAAAGCTAATATGACTTCTCAGGTATGTTTCATTTAAGAATAAACTTTGTTTCAGAGGTTTCTCCTAAAATTCCTAATAAGAG